TCCCATATTACTCCCCCAAACTCCAGTAAAAGTAAATGCTAGACACTCCCAGCCCAACACCCTAGGTAGTTGGTGTTGTTTCAACACTTGTGACATCAAAGAATGCCAAGAGCTCTCCTGGATACAATACAATTTCCAAAGTGAAGGGACTGCTGATGCCATGGGATAAGCTGGGAAGCCCATTTGCATCTCAGAGGCTCCAGCTCCAGCCATGTCACTGGAAGGTCCAGTACAAGCCCTCCTTCTCCAGGAAGCTCCCCATCTCCAGCTCAGGACTCACTGTGCACATGCTAGAACCATTTATTTGATCCTCCTTTATGCTTGGACTGAACAGCAGCTTCCTTCTGACTCTCTCTGGTCTCTCAATGTTCTCCATTCTCTCTTCCAAGTAGAGTCCTCAGTCTTGACAACATGTCTGATGGTGTACCCTGGAGGCACTGAAGGAAAAAGCCTAAAGGTAGTTGGTGTTGTTTCAACACTTGTGACATCAAAGAATGCCAAGAGCTCTCCTGGATACAATACAATTTCCAAAGTGAAGGGACTGCTGATGCCATGGGAAAACAGCCTTTGCCACCTTGCTAATTGTTAGTTCTCCCTGAACTGACCAGAAGCCCAGGATCTCTTTCCAGTAGCCTCTTTTGGAAAATAGGGAAAGCCATTCAGCACCTCTTATACCTCTTACACCTGAGTTCCTTTAGCTTGATTGGAAGACCCATAGTACTTCCCATCTAGACGTTCCAACCATAGCCCAGGAATGTCTCATTCCTTCCTCAAAATCCCTCTATTCATCAATATGAGCAATTAAAAACTGAAGTAAAAAGCCCAAGGGGGTGTTGTTACAACACTCGTGACATCGAAGAATGCCAAGAGCTCTCCTGGATACAATACAATTTCCAAAGTGAAGGGACTGCTGATGCCATGGGAAAACAGCCTTTGCCACCTTGCTAATTTTTAGTTCTCCCTGAACTGACCAGAAGCCCGCGATCTCTTTCCAGCAGCCTCTTTTGGAACATAGGGAAAGCCATTCAGCACCTCTTACATCCAATGCCTGAGTTCCTTTAGCTTGATTGGAAGCCCCAAAGTACTTCCCATCTACTTTCCAACCATAGCCCAGGAATGTCTCATTCCTTCCTCAAAATCCCTCTATTCATCAATATGAGCAATTAAATACTACTGAGAAGGTAGGTGTTAGAATGGATGTAGATGAGGAAAGCTAACCTTCCTCAAGTACAAGTGTTTGAAAACACATTCAGGAAGAACCTGCAAGGCTGGTTGCAGTGTAGGATTTCGGTTAAGGGTACAGTCATGGAATCCATGTGGTTAACTTTAGAAAATTGCCGCAGGATTCTTCACAATACAGATAATACAGTCATCTGACTGCTGGCAAAAATGTGATTATCTATTGGCAGAGGAAACTGAAATGGTGAATCCACCCAGAGAAGCCCTCAGGCTAAGTGTGGTGCTCCCCACTCTACACCAAAGACACCAAAGCAAAATTAGTTGCAGGCCTCTGGGTGTTACAGTAAGATTCTGCCTCTTGGGGGAAAAAGAAATGATAGTGGAAAAAATAAAGACAACAGCTGTAGACATACCTCAGTTGGCAGAGTGACTGCCTAGCATGTAGCAAGTCCCGGGTTCGATGAGTAGTGCTGTCCTCACCGGCCTTGGTGGGCCCACTTGTAACCTTAGCACTTAGAGGAAGCAGGATGATCTAAGCCCAAGGTGAAACTGCAAAGCCTGTGTGGGAAGACATGAGACCCTGTCCCCCAAAATAAAACAGAAACATACCCTACCTCCAATCCTTTAGAATGAAAAGAACTTACCATTCTTCCTACCACTCTTTCATCTTAAGGAAATGGAGGGGAAGGTGAAGTGATCTTTCTAATCTGAGGACCTTGCTCTTGCCTTTCCTTAATGTCTACATGGGAACCACATGAAAGTGGGTATGACCATCTGAACTACTAAGTTATATCCAATGCTGCTAGCATAGTACTGTGCCTATGACAAACTCTGCCTTTCTGAGTGATGGTGCCCCAGCGGGAAGTGTCAGAGTCTAAAGCCAAACCCCATTGATCCCTTCCAGGGGCTAGACAGAAGCCATCAGAGACACTCCCACTTCCTTCCCCAGAGATTAAGTCAAGCTGATCCATTCCAAACCTATTTGGCTATTGAACAACTGCTGATAACCCCACTCCCTTCATTCAGATTTCCTTCCCCAGAGATTAAGCTGATCCATTCCAAACCTAGTTGGCTATTGAACAACTGCTGATACCCCCACTCCCTTCATTCAGAGTTCATTTCAGGGTGGCGTTCAGGCACTTAAATTTCTGATGAGTACCTCTGTATACTGCCTAAGGCCCAGATTTGTTACAGGATTGGGTGTAGACAAGCAACATGTTGCTGTCAGGAAGAGGTAGCCTGACATCTATCCATAATAGACTTCTTCTTCTTCCTCAGATCTGTCAAAGATGTAGTCTTCACTTGGGAGCTACAGGCTAGAAAACCCTTCAAAAGTGACTCACATTACTAAGAAACTAGAACTTTCTATTTCCTTTGCTTTTATGGC